ATCATCATCATTGTCATAACTTGCCTCTTTCCTGATGTGGTGAAGAAGGTCCTCTACAGACATCTGCAGCCCACCAGCACACAGAAGAGTCAGGTAACGTGGGGATTGTGGGCATAAAGTAAAAGCATGTGATCTGAGAAGACTTTTACAGCTTTTTGTCTGGTGACCTTTGCAAAGAAGTTCAGCTATTGTTCTAAAGTCAATTAAACTTTGTGGTAAAAAAGTAGAACTAAATTTAAATTTGCCTGGAGTTTATAGAGACTCGTCTGTCTACCTCCCATAGGTTTCCTTGCCTTTCATGTCCCCTGCCCCTCAAAGGTGCACTGTAGTCACAGCAGTTCTCAAATCACAGTTGTAATAGTTGTTTTAGTTAAACACTTCTTCTATACTATCCTGCATTTTTCCTGCCCACTGTGCTGTAGCCTCCCAGGGAACGGCGAGTGTTTTGTTTTCTGTCTGTGTATCTTTGCTCTCAATGGTAATTTTCATTATCTGGGATTATTAGAGTAGCATCCACTCGTAGACCATAACTTGCAATATTTTTTTTCCTAACTGTGGCTTTGTGATCACAATCACCATTGTGTCCTTTTTGTCAAGGCAAAATCATGATTTAAAGAAAGAAGTCTGGAGAGCAGAGAGCAAACACTCTTCAGAAATGCATTAAGAAATCAATCAAGCAGATGCTGCATTGGAATTGAAAGTGCACCTGCAGCAGCATCTTCAGAAACATTATATTTAACTTTTTAAATTTAAGCCAATAGGAAACCAAAGTTGTAAGTTATCCAAATGTTCTAGATGAAGAATGCTTAAAAAGTCATTTGTGTAAGTTTTGGATTTTTCTAGAAGGTCTGCAGGTTGAGGTTCAGAAATCATTTGAAGTAGTGAAATGGCACTGGGAACGCCAGACACACTCTGGCAGTTAAACTGTCCCTGTGCAGTTTTGGATCACAAAAATGGAAATTATGTTTCCTTTTACATGTCAAGAGTCTGGAGTGGAAAGTAAAATGTCACAGTAATGCATAGTTGGAGAGAAAATGTTGTGTGTGTCACATTGTTAAGTGGTTCATCATTTTCTCTGTGGTCATACAGTAGACAAACGCACAGTGTGCATGATCATCTCAGCAGGCACGCACAGTGACAGCATTGATGAGTCCGGAGACTGTTGATGTTTTATCTTTATACATTCCTCCTTTCAAAACTCTCCTCTTGTTTCTCAGAAAGAATAAACTGCCTCTTCTGATCCTGCCCTGTGTGGGATTTGTTGTTGCTGCTCTACCTTTTTATCTCATTTGTCGTGTGTGTGTGTGTGTGTGTGTGTGTGATTCTGAAACTGGGTTCACTATGAATTGTGTATTTAAATGCACATGTATGTGAGCTTGGTTTTTTAACCTCTGTGTGTCTGTTTGTTCTTCCTCCTGTCCATTCTGTGTGTTCTCCTGCTGTAGATGTATTCAAACCACGTGGCAATAGGTGACAACTTCATCGCCCTGCAGCCTCTGTCCAGAGCCAAGAGCCAGCTGGGCAAAATTAGGTAGAAGAGATTAGAAGACCGATTCAGCCCTGGGCTTAAATTACATTCTAAATCGGTTCAAATGAATCCCAGGAGTGCATTATTCAAAAGCAAAATTTCTGTATTAGGAGATTTTGGCAGGAATCCATATGTTTTTGTGACCAATCAGCCATAAACAATGACTTGTCCTTCCCCCTGTGTTGTATTTGTAATATATTAGCCTAATACAAACCACAGCAGAGCCAATTTTTATGATTGTTTTGATTTCTTAGCTTTTCTGAAAATATTAATAACAATAACTGCAGCCTGCAGTCGACTGAGCAGAAAAAGGGAGCCAACGACATGCTGAATCACTTAGCTCAAACCTGCATTGCATTCCTTGTAGTTGGTCTGGATCGAGATTGGATCGTGTTCACACCACAAATGAACATTTGTTTGTAACTGTCCTGAGACCACCTCCAGGAAAGGTTCTTAATACGGTTGTTTTGGTCCGCTCCCAAGTCCGATTGCTGTGTTCACACCTGCCTGAAAGAACCGCACCAAGGGGGAAAGCAAACCATTGTTTGATTCAACTGGACTAAACAAGGCAGGTCTGAAAGTACCCTTAAAGGTTTACTTGTAGATTATTGATGTTCAGGTTAAGATTCTTGTCAAAATCTAATCTACAACAATATGGACAGCCTCTACAAAGTGAAAACATTGCTTTATGAAATAATGACTCCTGTTTATAATGATGTGTATTATACTGAAGTGTTCTTTCTCCCAGGTCTGGACTTGATTTCCTACTAATCAGGCTTGTTTCTAACACTGCCAGCGCGCTCACTGCTGTGGTGTGTGCTGTTAGTGTTGAAACTCAGCCTTTTGTCTCATGTTTGTGACTGCATGCTCTGGAGAAGCCAATCAGCATTCTCCATGATCGGGGGGGGTACATATTTGGGCCTCGTGAGGTTTGAAATGATGCAGAAGTGTGTGACCAGAAGCATTTCAGCCACAGCATGTATTGCATTTCAATGAAAGGCGGACAGGGAATGTGTTCTGAGACCTCCGTCACTCCAGCCTGGTACAGCATGGTACAGGCATCACTCCCTCCACTGCATGAACAAGCAGATGAATGAATGAGTGAATGAATGTTAAATGACCTGGTAACCCTCATCACATTCATTTTGACTCTGGCCCACTCTTTACAATGTGACAGCAGTGGTGTGATAACAGGCGTCATAACTAAAGAAGCACCATTCTGACTGTGATTATTTGTTTGCATTAGACCCAGATCACCTAGTCAGACCCACCTCCTGCCTATCAGCTAGTGGTTTTGTCATACCACCAAGGTCTGGCATGCCACTTGCATGGTGCAAATCAGTAGCATGGTGCAGCCCATCAGACCACCCCTTTATATGTAGCATGAGCCATCTTGATGTACGTCCTGCCAAACACACTCAGGCTGGTTTCACCACTTGTGAAAATCCTCCTCACCTTGAAGTTGTCCACCTGCATGGTTTCAGCAACCCACAGAGCAAAACTGAAAACCCACTCTAGTTGCATGACAGACTCTTGGGCTGCTTTGTACAGTAGCATGATGCTGTTCTAAGCACGATAGTTGTGTCATTACAAAAGCTACTTTAGGCCAAAGATGTGAGGATCTCAGTCTGTCAAAGTAGATGTCATTATAAGCAGCCTGCAAGCTCTTTGGCAAAGGGGAAAGTCTTGACTAGTAAACAAATGATAGGTTGAAGAGTTTTTAATTTTAATTACATTGAACCGTCCCAGATCCTGTACATAACCCTTGTGTAATATACTGTATATAGGATTAGTATTTTCTGTATACAGTAATAAGCAGATTTTTCTGCACGCATGTCTATTGTTGCAGCTGCATAGCATGAAAACTTGTATGGTTTTGAAGCACTTGCTGGAAAATGTTACTGCCATGTTCGTAAAAAACGATAGGCTATAGCTGTTAATATTAATCTAGTTGCCAGTTTATGCACTGTGCTAAAACCAGCGCAGTCAGTACACCTAATAAATCTTAACCCTCAAGCAGATTCAACTTAATTATCATTTTGTAGGGTTTTGTTTATGACAAAATGTTAGACACACCTCTCATTATAACAAAACAGCCTCAAATAACCATAAAGTGCTGCAAACTGTTAGAGCAAAACTGATCATAACCCTAATGAAGGTATTTATTGAAGGGCTGTTGTATTCGACTATATTAGTTAGGCCTAAATGTACCTAATAAACTGGCAACTGAGTGTACACTGTGTTCCAAGTTACTAATAATATAGACAGTGCAGGTCCAGTCCTGCAAACTCAGTGAGCAGAGATGAGCTGCAAGCTTGTAGATTACGCATTATTTTAAGGGAAGGCAACATTATGCAAAACGGATGTTGTTTCCTCAAACTGAGTAATGTGTTAGTTGAATCAGTACAACTACACAAGATGCTCTTAGTGGGTTCAGAATTGAAGGGTGTATTCATGTTCATGGGCTGTATAACAGTGTGAGTTCTGTTGAAAGGATTCCAGTATGTTTCACAGACCATTTTCCTAATTAGTTTAGAGGAAAGCAGTCACAAAAGAAGCCGAAGGGCTCTCCTAGGTTTCATGCTGTTTTCTTCCTCCGTAGCTCTGATAGATTAAGCAGCAGGTTAATTGGCCTGGATACTAATAGATGTGCTCTTATCTATTCTAGAAGAATCCTTCTTCCCGGAGACATCTTTTATACCTGCAGCTTCTTTCTGCTCAATTGTTGCTGAGTTTACAGCTGCTTCTGAGCTTACTGGCATCTCAACAGTGTGTTCAGTTGTTTCTGCGTGTGTGAGAAATTAAAGCCCTCTTCCAGTGACCTCATCAACCCACTCACATTTTCTTAGATATTCTCAAGCAGTGCTTTATGATTATCTCATAGTTCCAATTAAAATGAGGTTGAGACCGGGAATAAGACCTGGGATGCTCATTGGTGTCATGCTACAAAATTCAGGAAGCAGCTGTTGTTCTTTGTGTTGTAAGCCAAAGGTTTTCTCTCAGCTGTATTGCATGACTGCTGGCGAGGTCCCTGGTGAAGGACTTTAAAGAGGTGATAGTCTCTGTTTACTGTATATATAAATGCATTATAATTTAGTGCCCACTGGGTCTGGGTTTTCCTCAGATACCTGTCCCTCTACAGTGCAGCCTAGTCTGATGTTGACTGACTGCTTGTTTACTAAGTAAATACAGTAAAGTGACACTAAAAATCATATGCACCTTAGTTTTGGTTGTTTAGTCTTGTATTGAGTTTTGTTTCCCTAAAAAAAAAAAAACCTTAAAATATAATGCCAGTGGCGTGAAACACTTTCAAATCTGTTCAAATGGCACATAAACTTGTCGTTTCCTGAGACAAGGCCTTGTTTTGACACGTGCACTAGTTTTATAAAATTCCTAAAACAAGTAAAGTCTAATCCAAACATTTAAAAATTGAATATGGGACTAAATGACTAAAATTGATGTTTTTGCACTGTGACTGATTAGTTGACAGCCTGGCTTTATTTGTGAGGGTGGCTACCAACAGTCGAACTGACTGAGGAGCTGTCTGATTAGCCATCAGGGCTCACTCTGAGCATCTTGTGTCCTTCAGATGGAAGAGGGTGAGGGTTCAGTCGGCCCAGAATATGACCCTGTTAAAGCCCAGCGGAGCCCAGGGGAGGACAATTGGCGCCTGCTAGCTGCTTATCCTCCCCCTGCCACCCCCTCTCCCCTAGGTAGTACCATACATGTACTCCACTCCCATCATTGTACTGTCACAGACCCAGCATTATATGGTTTCGCCTGAAGATGAACTGACCCTCTGCACCCCCTAACAGCTGCAAGTCAGCAGCATACACCCTCATGGCTTGATAAAACACCTTGCACATCCTCACAGAGCTGTATGCCACAGTTGTCCCTACACTGCCCTTTTATTTCATATGAAAAGTCCTATTTCTGTATGTCTCTTCATTGGTCTTGGTTCCTATATGAATGACCTCACCCTTTCCCACTCAGTCATGATCATTTTATTCCTGCCCTGACATGAGAAACCTCCCTACCCAGCCATGATTGCCCCACCTTTTCTTTATCCTGGTCTCAGTACACCCCTCACTGTTATTGATCAGATCAGAGTTTAACGTGAGAATGCTGTTGGCATGCTGAATACATTGTCTTCACCGTGTTTTTGTTCCGCCATCTACTTCAACCATATTCAGTAATGATCTGTTGGCTAGGTTTCCATGGTGACTCTTGTGCTGCTTCAAAGTACTATATTTGATATCTTATCTTAATCCTTTTTGTGTTTCAAGTATGATTTTTACCTTCCTTAAATTCTTTTCATTTGTTCCATCATTTAAGACTTGTTTGCATTTCCACATGTAGAGTATGATTTATGAGTAACCCAGGATGATTATATTTTCTTATGCAGTCTTGGTTGTTTAAACCAACAATGTGCTGTATAACAACAAACTGAACTTTGAACTTTAGCTGAACTCTATGGCCTCTATGTATAATAAATCAGCCATAGGATGATGTCACCATATATTGTAGCTACCACTGAGGCAGGTTATCGTAAAACCTTAAATTCAGGCAGTTTACAAGAGAACTATTAGTCAGTGGTTTGTCACCAGGTTGCTGCTTCTTCTCTAGGACTGAAAAATCGCCTGCACCAAACAATTCCTCTAAAACAATGCAGTGGTTTAATGGCCAGTCCAGTTAATACTTGATGTTTCTGTGAATTTTATTTGTCATGGCTCTGAAAACTGCATTATGTCTTATTCAGGTTTGTTGATTAGAGTAAGCAAAATGTGTGTTTGGAATAGTCACATTCTACAACCTCAGCCTTTCTCTTTGCTGTCGCCGTCGTGGCGACTCCTGTGCTGCACCAACAAGAATACATTTGTATGCCCTTTGTCAAAAGAAAAAAGCAGTGTGTTTTAATGGAGGAAGAGCAAAACCATGCACTTATTGTCCAGGGACATTTGAGGCTGCCAGAATGATTCATATTCACTGTCTACAATTTCTGCTGCAGAGAAAAGTCACAGTGTCACAAGCCAAAGCCCAGTGTGGGTCACATATTCAGCCACACACAGCTGTTAGTTGTCCATATGTTGAGAGCAACTGGATGTTTGAAAACATGACCTAGTTAAAATTTTACTTTTAAAGGCACAGATAAAATTGAGAGAATTACTTTATAATGTTGCTTTACCCCACCATTAACTGGTTAATCTCTGTAATTAATGGCAAAAAATACAAATTATAACTGATTTATGAAAAACCAGGTGGGCCACTAAAGGTAGTCTGTGGTTAACCTGTCATAGGACAGTGTATTCACTGTCCTGTTATGCTGCAGAAAAGCAAGGCACAGGAGATGACACTGATGTAACCTTACACTCTGTCTCTGTTTCCTCTTTTGTCTCTTTGCTCTTCACTTTCTCCGTTCTCTTACACAGTGTCTGTCTCTGGGGCACTGACCCACATCAACAGAGCCACCTGATACCACAGGTTTCGAGGCAGCTTTGTCTACCCATGCATCGCTAAATCGCTGATACATCTGATTATTCATAAAATATACTTTCGCCTGTTTATTTAGACACTAAGAGCTTTCTTTGCTCTGCATGTCAACTTCTCCAGATCATATCAGATGAGTATAGATGGCACTGTGTATTCTTGTCAGCAGCACTTTGGTCCTGTGATGCTTTAGCGCCTGAAGGAAAAAAATTTCCAGCACTTTCATTTACTAAAGGTAATCAAAAATATCCTTCCCTAGGCTTTGACATGCAAAAACGCTAACGTCCACAGCTACTGTAAATATAGCTTGTGGCATTTTGGTTTGGAGGAATCTTAACACACTATAGTTGAATTGGCAAGCCATTATTGAAATGGTCTTTGGAAATGATCTGCCAGACCTGAGTTGTTGTTGAGCTGTCCAGCCTGATCATGTGATCACCAAACAGAGCAGAGGGCAAGTTTACAATCACCCAGAAATCTGCTACAGATGTCTCTGGTTTTTCTTCTTTTAATTTCTTTATTTACTGGTTCTGTGATTTATGTATTTATTTCTGACATTTCATCCCCTTGTGTAGCATGATTTGGATGTTTCCCTATGCATTATTGTTCCTGTGGCAGCATGCAATATGTCATCCTCCAGTCACCCTGAACATCCTCTCTGAATGTGACAGCCTATATTGTGTTGGTATATTCATTTCCTCTTTTTTTTTTTTTTTATCTCCACTCCCTTCTCCCCTTTCCTGCACTCCCTATATGACTCTCCAACTTTTCATATCACCCTTTCCTTCTCCTGCTCTTTCTCTGCTCTCCCACCCTCACTTGCCCTCCTCCAGTCTCTATCACCCCCCCAGGCGCAGACCCTCAGCTGTGTGGAATCCCTGTGCTGCTACCAACATGGGCAGAGCGGCTGTTCCCGCCTGGCCCAGCTCATGGAGCAAATGACCAGGCAGTGCCAGGCCAGCACCAATTATTGCCACACATCCAGCCGCAGCAACAGGTGGGGAAGACGACAATGACAAAGAAACACTGATTATGAACCTTGATGAACCCGCACCACCTCTTGGTTTCAAATGTGAGCTGCAGTCCTGACTGCTGTAGCCCATAATGTCACTGCAACAGTACTGTAAGTCTGTCTTGTTCAGATCTGTAGGAGATTGAGCATACTGTTATGGGCAAGCTGGGGTTCAGACCATCATAGAGACTGGTTTTAGGGTGTGGCTTAGCAGCCAAAGGAGGAGTTAGAGGCTGAAGGCATGTGGATCAAGCCATCACAGACTGCACTTCTATGAGTTTCTCATTTCATCAGAGTCTGGATGCTGTGATTAACCAGACAGAAGGTTTAAACTCATACCCACTGTAGCGTGCTGCCAGAAGTATATCAGTGCACCTTGTAACCAAAACCTAGACTAGTGACTGAACGTATAGAGATGGCCACACCTTCTACCCAGCATGCAGATGTGAATGTTTGGCAGCCTAGCCAGGGAGACTCTGGCTCCAGTGTTTTTAGTAAGGCCTATAAAAGAGACGTGCTGCGATATGCAGACACCCACCAGGTCTGAATATTCCACTAAAGTATGTAGCCTGTCTTGTCTGTGTGGCCCCTACATGATGCCGAGTCTGTCTTAAGTCCATGTGTCAACGTCTGCTATGATCTGTTCTGTCCGTCTCCTGTCTCTCTTCAATATTTCCTTACAATCAAAGGTTGTGTTAGAATGGGAGGAAGCCCAGCTCATCTCTAATGCACATAAACAAATGATGCTAGCATGTAGGCTATGTGTCCATTATAAAGTTGACTTGTTAGCTTTAGGTTGATTCTTATTGTCTAGTAGCAGCTCTTATAAACGAGGCCAGACGGTGGTTAACTAGTTGAATCATATAGAGTATGGTCCAAATACCAAACATGGACCTGTACTTCCCTGGTACGGAAGAGCTGGGAAAGTGCTGCTATGGCTTTAGTGGCCTGAAATAGCAGAGAGGTAGATACGATGTTGGTTTACTGCATGAAGTGAGCTCTCAGTAGGTTTGTCTCTGCTGCAGTTAAACTTTGTGATAAAGGATGATAAAACATCAACATTTTATATTTCTCCAATAAAATATTTTTGCCACTTGCTACTGAGAGTTTGCTGCTCTGCTCAGTCTGCACTTTAACATTGTGTCTTTACCTGAATCCCAGAGCTTCCCTGGGGTCAGTCATTGATTGACCTGATCTTTCCTTTCTGCTGAGCAATCAGAGCTCTCCAAAACAGCTCGGACCACTTCACATTGATTAGATCAGTAATGAAGATGTAGCCTTCTTGTTCTTTGTGTGTCAGTGTTTTGCAGCAGACCTTGAGCATTGTAAGGTGGTGTAGACACACATGAGTCATTCATGACTTTCTGTGCGTGTTTGTAAAGGTTATGACAATGTGCAGGTCAGAAAAGGGATGCACCTTTCCTCTCCTTCCTCCCTTCAGCCCCTGTGCACAGCAACCTGCACTCTCTGGTTCAGCTGAGGACTGTGCATCACAGTCAGGCAGGTCTGGCCGATACTGCAGTCTTATGAGTAAGACATAGTAGAGACATCTCTTTGTATCCAGTTATATTCTGTGCCAGACCTGTATGTATATAATTAACATCTTAGGCATCATCTGATCATTTTTAATCTGGTGGTAAACCTATTCCAGTTGTTGTCAGAGTCACAGCGCCAAAAGGAAGGAAACCCTCACGTTAGGGTCAAATTACCACTAAGTGCACGATTCACTATAGATGATTCTTCTTGTGGGAATGATTAATTTGTTTTCTGACCTTGGCACAAAACAACCAATTTCTTCTTCCACCTGAGCAAACAGCAGCCAATTTGTTCTCCTAGAAGGATAAACAGCAAACATTACCAACATTACTGCTGTGCTTCATGCAAATGAACACAACTAATAGAATAGGGCTGAGTGTTTTAGTTTTTTTTATCCATTCTCAATCTTCAGTCCCCTCCTCCTCCTTTACCCTCCAGGTTTAAGAAAGTGAAGCAGAAAACCCCAGAATTATTGAACAACCAGTGAGACTCAGCCCACATTTGGCCTTAACGCTAGGATACTGCCATAGGGGAAAGGGTATATATCCACCCAGTCCTATATAATATGACATATACTGTAGCAAGCGTATTTACAGCTTATATAAAACCTAAAGTATTTATCCGATATTTATTGGAAGCCCAACTGTAGCTGGCTGCTTGACTTGGCCTGTTGGTGCAGCACTGAACACTGACTGAATCATGGCTAGGGATAAAAAAAATTTAAAAAAACAGGAACAGGAGTAAAGATGTTTTTCACAGTAAATGAGATAGATGCTCGGGTGGATTTGTCACATCCCGGCAGCTGAATCTCCATCCAAATGTCAAACACATTTTGCTCACACCTGTCAAATGTGAAAGGAGAACATGTAGATTATGAAGGCTTTTTAATTAGCATTTCCAGAAGGTTTCTTTGGAAATGCAGTAGAGAAAAGCTGTTGTACAACAAAATCAAACCATCCTACACAATATTTTTGTTACCAAACTTAGTCTGCTTCAGACAACTTGGTTACAGATGATTTAAATAAATCCTTGGATGGAGGTTGAGCAGCAGCTGCTGCTCCTCTTCTCCTGGAACAAGGGGACCACACTCTAGGCCAGACAGGCTGCTGGGAAGCGTAGTCTCAGAGTCTTTCTTTTGTTGCTTCCTGTATCTACTAGTCTTTTTGTGCTGGATCCTGAAGCCTTATATGTGCTTCTGAGAAGAGGCCAACTCTGAGGGTGTGCTCATTTTATAATCTGGGGTGCTGCAGGCAGGTAGAGTTTACCTTCAGTGTACAACCCCATATGTCGTGTCCACTATAGGCTACATAACAAGAAAGCCCAGATTCTGTCTTGTTGCATGGGGGCTGCTGTTGCCTTTGGTATTTTGTATACTATGTAAATCTGTGTGTATTTGTGTCCCCTCACACACTCCTCCTCTGTGTCCTTGTCCCTTCTGTGTCTGAAGTCTGCGTAATGTCCCTCAACCTTCCAGATTAATTATTCATATGCTGTTAATGTCCCCCACAAGCTGCGTTTTGTCACAAACCTGCCTGTTGTGTTCTTGTCTTGGGTAAATTTTCCCACATCCCACAAGTGTTTTGACACCACTGTCCTCTCTGTTTTGTTGTAACCTGGGGAGCAAAGATGGTTTTAGCACTGAGATGTTTCAGGTTGACCCCAGCCAGTGGTGCAGCATGCTGGAGAGCCTCCAGTCAACCCATCATCTGAGTCATTATTCTATTTCAAAGTCCATGGATGGCGCTGTTTTCCAGGTTTTAAAACGGTTGTCTTCATGTCAGAAAGCAGTGTTACATTAAAGGTGAGGAGCTGTATTCAGAATAGAGCAGCTGACCTTTAGAGACCAAACACAAGTTAGTTGTCCTCTCACCAGTTTCAGCTGTTTATGAGAAGCTGCATCAGGCTTTACTTGTGTAGTGTAGCAGTTGAACTCAGGATGTTGAACCAGTCTGCTCCTCACTGCCGCTTCGATGTCGAAACTCTGCTTGATCGCTCTGGTTCAGGTTCTGGTGAGAGTTAGAACAGTGGAGTTTGGTTTGTTGTCGCTTTTAGCACTGAACTCGGTGATTTCTATGATGTGCCCAAGTGGTGGTGGGAGTTTTTTCTGGTCCATCCATATCACTGGTCATGTAGTGATCTAGTGTGGTTTTTGAAATGGACGAGACCGTGCACTAGATAATTTCCAAAGGAGACCAGCTTGCTAAGCTAATAACAGAAAAGGACTGTGCCCTTTTATTTCCCAAGGGCTCTTGACAAACTTTTTTTTTTTTTTTACTTAAGCATATGTGTCGAATGTTGTGTAAGTTGTTAGTGTTCTATTTTTGTAGTAAATGAGTACAGATATTTAAGTAACCAGTTAAACTGCAGCATGTAGATTTTACCTGCAGTAGATCAGATACTAATCCTGGTTACCTGGAGAGCTGAGATGAAGTGAGAATGTTGTTGCTTGTTTATTACGATTTATTTCACTTTTTGATGATTGTGTTTTCATTCACAAGTAGCTGAAGTCTCACCTCAACTCTCCCTCATGAACAAACCAGACACGGATTTAGACAACAGAATAGGTTTCACAACTCTCCCTCATGAACAAACCAGACATGGATTTAGACAACAGAGATTCTATGGGATAGATGTGTTGTAAGAAGCAACAAGCGTTGGCAGTAAAGAACCTTAACCACTGTTGCTGAAATGTGTGATCAGCGACATACAGTGTTTAATCTTGACCCTTTTTGAAGCAGCAGTCAAGTAATTGAGATTATAGTGGATATACCCATCTGAAAATTGCTTAAAGGACATAGCATTCAAAAGCCTAAATGATCTGCTGCATCGGGGCCGTGTGTGGTTTCAACACCACAGCTGTCATCACATTTCAGTTCCAATGTCACCAGTTTGATTGGTGTAAAACAGTGACATCACCTTTTCCCCACTGAGCCCTGCTCTGCTCAAAACTACAAAAAAAGTGCTGGCAAAACAGAAACACACTTATAAAATAACCAAAACAGTTTTAACTTTAGAAAATAAGATGGAGTCAAATTCCTTGTACTTGAGCATACTTGGCAATAAAGTTTGATTGATTGATAAGTGTGTTCCTGGCCCTGTCAGCGTTGCTGATTTTTAAAAAAGGTTTGCCCAGTCTTCAAATTTAATTCTCTTAAGCTCAGTGTAACCTGATTAACTAGGATTAGTGTGAGTTAATGAGGAGAGACTTCTGGTACGCATCATTAAATCCATCACACTCATTAACTCTTCACTCTTCTCTAGCCTCCTTGTGTAGATTGTTATTGTACACCTTTGGATAAGTCTGTTAAGATAATGACAGCCGAGCCCGTCCCCCATCACACACACTGTCAGTCTCCTAACCCTCAGTCACTGCTGCCTGTTTCCAGGTCTTGGAGCGACACAGAGACCTTGTACGCCAACGATCACAGCATCGTGGCGCTGTCACCCATCGAAGCCACCCACTGCTGACTCCCAGAGCCACACTCTACCATTTTATAAACCTATGTCAGTTTCAACTCGATGCATCTGGATGCAAAGCAGACTTCACCAGGAGCTGTGGCATCATCTGAAACCATAATCTGAAGCTCTGACTCTGTGCAGCGGATTGTTCCATCCAGAGCAGTTCAGGTCTTGGTACAAAGGCTGCAAAGGACGTCAGATGGACCTGCAGCATGGAAGGAAATGAAACATGAAGTGTCAGCCCAACATGAAGTAGAACCTGATGAAGTCCAGCAAGTCCACATCTTAGAAGCAACAATGATCTGGTTCCTGCTGCAAGACCTGCTAAATAATCTGGAAACATCAGCTTCAGACCCTTTAAAAAAAAAAAGACTTGTTTAAGTCTCAAACTGAACTAATCAGCTCTGAGATCAGTCATCTCACAAACTCATGCAGCTTTTTATTTTCCAGTACAGTTGCCAAAATTAGACTTTTTTGCAACTAGCATTTAAATGACCTTTCATGTTGTCGACACAGAATGGAGGTTCTTGGAATGTGGACTTTCGCTACAAACCTGAGCTAATTTCAGGCCTCATTTCTGCTCAAAGCACTGAAAGCTCACCCAGCTGCTTTAGCCAGGCTGACTAACCTCACTGCAGGACTGAGGTGGTATGATGACAACACAAACCAAGACTACATCAGCAGTACCTTTCAGAGGTGATGGCTAGCAGCTCAAGTCCAACAACACAGCTTCCCTAAACTCCCAGTCTGAGCCCATCTTTGAGCTGTTGCACCTTAATTTCTCATTCAGACAGAGAGGAAAAACTAGACACCCACCCTCACAGCCCTGTAGCATCCAGCGGTTCTGCTTTTCCTGCAGACCTGCGCTACTCCTTCCATACATTACGTATTCTCTCTGTCTCTGTTGTTGTACTAAAGACCAAAGGATTCAGACTGGAATTTTAAAGTATTTTTGTGCCTGAGTGTCCAGAAGCTTATCGTTAAGGAGACTGTTGTAGTTTGTGCTGGTTCCTTGTTCAGACCTCTATCTCCCCGGTGCATCGCTCTGAAGTAGGCCGGAGGAGGTTTGTTTAAAAAGCCATACATTTTCAAGAAGTTATATTATTAAAAGCAGCGTATATAGAAGCTTTTTAAGTCGGTTGTTACTTTGTACTTGTTTTCCTTGAATGCATCTTTTTTTTTTTTCTTTCAGTCTGGTTTGCAAAGGCATCTCAGTCCTGAAGACCAGGATGTCAGAGTATTTTGAAGTAATAAAGGAAATTAGGGTTGCAAAATGGACCTAAAGTAATCAGATTTTAGAACATCTGTACAAACTGGATTTTAGGTAGTTACATTTCCTAAAATATTTTGAGTATCTGATCAGATAATGGTACCATCAGTGCAACAAAAATGGCTTTAAGGACAAGATGCTTTTCTAAATCACGACTGACGCATTTCAACCCAGACAGCAGAATGTCTCCATCTTTAGAGAGAAGTTTCAGATGTAATTCAGCCTCAGAGATGGAACGAAAAGCAGAGCATTTGCACAAGTCGCATATCAAATCATACTTGTTTTGTCAAATCATTGCTTCTGTCACCACTGAAATCATCTGAATCATTGTTTTGCTGTTATGTTGTTCTTACCATGTTTGTTTCTGTCCACCTGTTGATGTAATGTGTGTGGGAGTGTTCGTGTTTTATCGGTATGGCAGCCATGTTGGTCGATTGAAGTACTGTACGGCCACGTGCTTACTGTACTCTTTTATTCCAAAAACAAGTGTGAAGAGGTAAAATTAGGATGTTTTTTAGGAGAACTGTAGCGTAACATAGAAACTAGCCAAGACAACCGTTTTAAACTTGATCACAGACATAGGACACATCTGTTCGAAGTTTTTTTCCCCCACAGTAATACACATGTGGCCTGTTATTTCTGATAATGACATTGTCTATTTATTATTGCAGTATATATTTTTCTGTCTTAAATGTTTCTTAAATTTCAATAAATCTGTTTGTGTCCCATAAACACCATGAATGCAGCAGCTTCCTGCAGTTTTACTTGATTCTAGACCTGTAGTTTGAACCTCAGTCTACGTTGTAGCTAGATATAGCTATATAGTTAATTATAGAAATACATCTAGCTATAGTTGTATAGCTCTATAGTTATTTATATAGCTATACAACTACATAGCTAAAGTACACATTTTGGAACACTAAGTATGCTGAATTAGCTATTAACAGTTCACTTGTACTATGCTCTACTGAATGTACTGACAACCATCACCAAATTACTGTGATAATACAGAATACATTCAAACCTGCTGATTTCCAGGGAAGTTCTGCAGCGCTCCAACCCCGGCATTCTCTCATAATTATGAGATAAAACTCTTTGGTGAATGCAGTGTACTTCTGTGGATTTTGGTGTGGGATTTAAAATAAGTCAAAGTCTTTGTTATAAAGGTCTGTTATTATAAACTAGAGAAATCGACTTTGACTGATGAGGACATCTAAACCAGCAGGGAAATTCTATTGCATTATGGGAAAGAATTCAGCATTTCTGGAGCCTCATTAGTTGGGATTTATTAAGTCTAATTATCTCAGGCTTTGCTACATTAATCTTGACAGTATTTCACAAGTCTCCCAACTTTACAGAAGTGCCAAACTAAATCTAGGAGGATACATTCATTCCTCAGAACAGTCAAATATGATGTAGGAAAGTCTGAACGATCCTGACTGTTTCCAAAATAAGGGTCAGACATACTGGATCCTACAGTTCCATAATGCAACTACAGTAAATATCCTGTTGGTAGACGTTCGATGTCCACACCTTTCCAGCTCCACGGGCCGACTCTACGACAAGTTTTACGTTAAAGGATAAGTTAACATTTTTTCAGTTCTATCTTGAAACTTAAGCCAAAACAAATTCAGCACACACGGTGAGCAGGGCTGACAATGTCACAACATTTTCCTGACAGTGATGCATATCGTGGCAAATCAAAGCTGGGTTTGTCTGTATCTGAATGTAAACATTACCAGTATTTTACAAAACATGACATCACCATATGACTCCACTGAAGTTCAGCTGTCAATAATGAATCATCGGCCAAAAAAAACGGTCACCTCAAGAGCAGACACTAACCTCAGCGTTTAGGAGCATGTTGTGGGGACACTGCCAAGTGTCTACACAGCAGATGGCACAGGAGGGTGGTCCAGTCCTTTCTGGTCAAAGGCAGATAAGGCTGCTCTGGGTAGAAGCACCTGCAGTGCTAATGCAGTTCTGATGCCCCCTGGTGCTCATCTCTAGAGCCCTAATGTGTGCAAATGACATCAGTAATCATACAAATAAATACAAACATGTACACGTCTTGTTTCCAGTGTGATGAAGCAATTACATGGTAAAAATCTTTGCCAAAGGGGGCTTCACCCTGGTCATTTTGATCGAGAGACTTCAGAGTACTACAAAATTTTTAAAAATGCCATGTAAAAGAAAACCTTTGGGAATGGACCTCTTGAAATAACTGCTGGATTGAAAAAGATGTAACCTGCCATAAAAGTCTTATTGTGAAAGTAACATTTAATAATGAGCCAAGTTTTAAAAGCCTTACTTTACAGTTTCTTGGTAAAACACGTATCATCTACAGTCACATGCTAAGAGTAACAGAAGCACCATCCAGTTCCTGCTATGTAATTACAATTTTGTGCATGTGGCACTTGTGTGATTAGTTAATATTAAGCTCACGACATTTTGTTACAACCTGATTGACAAATGAGGTCAGTGCCACAGATGTTACCTGAAAACTGTTTGCAGACTTGAATTAAAGGTTTCTTTGATCAAATCAGCTAAAAACCAGGAATCTAACTGAAAGTTTACTGATCAATTTCTGCCACAGTGTCCTATGACACACGAAGCTACAGAGTGGTTTGCTGAAATCCTCCTCCTTCCCTCCTCTCAGCAGTAAATCAGACAATAAATGAGTAGCATCATCACTCTTCTGTTGACTGATACGTGAGGCCGTGTCTGTCTGTAGATCTGTCTTATAGCTGGCCTTCATGAAGATGCAGTTCTATTTACAAAATAAACATTTTTAAGAAACATCTTTTGAGTGCGACTTCATTCACTTGATGGACGTTCTTAGATGCAGTTCTGGGAAGTAAACAACTAAATTCACAACTAAAAATCAATAAAGAGGGAGAAAGAGTAGAAATGAATGGGGTAGAAAGTTTGTGGTGTTTAAACAGGTTAATTAACTGCTAAACAAAAAAATAGCAGAATTTTAAAAAAATTAATTCCAAGATATCACCATGAATCTTTGAATATTGAACCCCTAAACTGTTCAATATTACAAGGGTTAAACATTATGAAAGAAGAAACCACATGAAAAATACATAACCAATGTAATCTGTGGAATTCTAAAATAAAATGCTCCGTTAATTATTCACAATTCTGACATTTTATAGATCTAACACTTCACTGATTTGACAATAGTCAAAATAATTGATTCTAGAAAACAACTGACCACTGTGCAAGACAGAAGATGTGTCTGATCACAGTACTATGATAACAGCCATGTTGATCCCACACACTTCACTGAACTAGTGCAACCATTTCTCATAGAAACACCAATAAAAAGAAAAGTCTTACCTGCTGTGGAGGTTGTTTACATCTGTATGCACAAGTAACAGTGTCCCCATTTTACTGGTCTTCTAGTGAAGGCACTGCACGGCTGTGTGCGCCTGCTCTGACTGACTGATCGCCTCCGTGTTGAGGCTGGGAGGAGACGAGCCAGGACATGACAAATGTGTTAAGAGGTCGGAGGAGATGTCAATCACACACCCTCACAGGCCTGAAGAGGGCTCGGATCAGGCAAAAATTAAGTACAAAAATTAAATAAAAAATATGTTAAATGTCACATTACACCTTCAAGTGTGCCAAGTATGACATGAAGCCGAGTACACTTTGACAGTATTTTATTGCAGCATGTTATCAGTTAATTTAAAAAAAAAAAATCACCTGTCATACAATTCAAAATAATCTATGAGGCCTCACGGCCAGTCACAGGTCAGAAGAGTGTGAGCAGCAGAAAGTCAGGTTCACATGAATCACTGAACTGATGGGAGATTTAAACAGAAACAGAGCATTTCATTAGTTATGGGTTGCTTTAAACTCTGAGCTAAATCTGGCCACAAACATACTGAAAATGTGCTTCAGAACACTCTGGTCATTCTGGGAGTGTTTCTCCTCGATGCCACGTTCACTCTCCTCAGAGCAGGCTGGTTCATACCATGGACGGATCGTGAGGCAACGAGCCCCTGGGCACAGACACGTAAAAGGCCCCCCACCTCTCCCACACTTCTAATCCCATGATCTGTAGTCAGTTTCAGGTTGTTTTGCATCTATTTGTAGCCATTCTCTGTCAATTATTCATAATTTTTCAGACATTTCCATCAGTTTTGTGCCTGTACCCAGAGGCCCGTTCAGTGATCCATCCATGGTCCATACCAGAGTAAAGGGTTAAAGTGAAACCCTTGATTCAGCCAGTCTGAACACAGCGAGTGAGTTTAAACTGGGTGGACACTGTCAAACCCCGGTACTAAATACCGTCCCACACCGACAATGGATTAAGCATCATCCCACCACTTTTCTTTCATTACCACTGTCCAGTGAAAACCATGCAGCAGCATTTTCTCAACTCATCAGCAAATGTAGAAAAACTTGCATTGGTTTTTACTTCACAGTGACAATGCACTTATGTTTCCCCACACAGGGCCAGAAACAAACCGCTTCTAATGCCATGTCAGCGTGAATGTGACAATTAGTTTCAGTAACTATTTCTAGTTCACAGAGGTTTATTTATAGGAATTTTAGATCAAAGTTCTCACTTGCCATCCTACACTACACCTTATGCCTCAGACGTGTTTACTCTGCACTTAGTGTTGTCACTGTGTTCAGACAGTACACACATACTGTGCACAGAGAAGAGATTGCAATGTGCTAAAGTGCATTAATCTGTACTGAACAAAAGGACAGGATTTCCCAGCTCATTAACTCTACAGCACTGACAGAAACCAACACGGACATGGAAAGAAACATCTACAGACATGGTGAGAAAGTCATAATCTCTGATTACATGAAAACACAAACCCAAAACAAACAGTTCTCCAGTCATTTCTCTGCTGCGTAAAAGGTAACTGCACATTAGAAAGTCTTGTGCTTTTTGTCCACTGAGGCAAACACTTTTTTTATTTCCTACTTTTCAGTCCAACCCAGGAACAATTCAGGTCACCTTCTGAAATACATTTTGCTCACCCAGGGCAATCATTTTTGTCTTGTCCATGTCAGACTCGCTCTAAAACATATCCACTGACATCGACTCACTTTCCCTCTAGTTGTCATAGTAACTAGTTCAGGCTCTCTCCTACCTGTCTCGGTGTTTCTATGTATGTTGTTGGGATGCATTTACTGGTTGCCACCGTCCCCGTTATCCTCCCCTTCCTCCTCCAGTTCCACCAGTGGAGCATGGCGATTGGCCTGAGAACCCTCACTGAAGAGCACCTTTTTGATCACGCCTGACTTGGGTGCACGGATTGTGTGCTGCAAAGACAAAAAACAAAATTATTAAAAACTTAGTAGTTGAGTGTGCAGAGATTTAGAGAATGTGTGTGAGGCAGCGGCAGCGGCAGCAGGTGTCCCTCACCTCCATCTTCATGGCAATCATGACCATCAGCGGGTCTCCAGCAGTCACTTTATCTCCGGTCTTCACCAGCACCTGAACACAACACAAAAGCTTCTTCATCTGTTTTTGTCTAGACAGAGGACATTGAATGTTCATCTCTAGAATAAATACTGAACTAATAATATCACTCCAGGTTATGTTATGCCTTTTACTTCCTTAGGGACTTCACTCATTTTGAAACCGTCTTTCACTTCTGGAAAAAAAATCTGGAAGCTGGTGTGCTCAGCTCTGGTTTACACCTTTGACTACACGTGGTTCAAACGGTAACAGTGCATTTCATTAAAGATCATGTTATTTTAACAGCTCCTCACAAATATAAGATGTTGAACTGGAGATGTGAAAGGCTTATACAAAAACCATATTTTTTTATTTACATTTCATTGCTCAGATAAATCCTCTAAATGTCTATGAAGGCATCTGAGACTACTAGTGTGGCCTCACTGCCAAAGACCTGAATATAACCAAACCCACCTTCTCTATGGTTCCAGTCATGGGGGCCACAGCTCCACCCTGAGCCCCAGAGCCACTCACACCAGCCAGATACTTCGGCACTGGAACCGACACCTGGGCGCTTCCCTCCTGCACACACGGTGTAAATGTGTTAGAAGAAGAACTGACACTTTACTGCCAGCTGAGGAAGGGGGATGAGATCAGGCTCAAATGTTAGAGTTAGCAACCAGATGTGGAAAATAACAGATGCCTAAGTGTGGAAAAAGAGACCAGTGTAGCTCTCTTTAAATCCCTTGTTTGGAAAACTAAACCTACAATAAATCAACGGTAAACATGACAAGCCAACTAATAGGCAAGTAAATGCCTTTGACTGATTAAGCTACGACACCACGTCCGGTCCCATTTTCACTGGATTTAACAATGTGCCAAATATTCTGTGGTTCCAACATGCGTGTTTTGCTTGGTTTCATGTGGACTGTTTATAAGACAGAACAAGACACTGATGACCATCTGTAACCTCTTCTGGATTTTATCTACCAAACAATAAATTGCATATCTTGGTACATTGGTAGGTCACTCAGTTTGTGTAGTGACAGGAACGCACCGTGGAGAACAGGTGCACCGTGTTGTCCAGGATCACCAGTTTGGGACGTGACTTCTCCCCATTGACAGAACAACACAGGAATGAAGCTCCACCCTCGAGCTCCACCTCTCCAGTCACATGGTATTTCTCCTCACCGATCTAAAAGGTTAACAACATGCTAGTTATATTACTAGCACTACATTTGGATATCAATACTATAATGCAACGCAGTACAAAAAGAAAACTTTTTCCAGCTGACCTGCATAATGTAGCTTCCATCATCTTTGTATGTGATGGCCACATTGACTTCTAGAGAGAGACACACACGTTTCAAAGAGGTGTGGGATTCAAGGTGAATCACCACAGACACAGCCACTGAACTTATTTTTAGCTTTGCTGTAACATTTAAGGAGGAACAATGAATACGAGCTGATTAACAAACTGTCACAGACCAGACCTGCACTAAACTGAATTATTCAGCCCTTCAATAAATCAGATCCACGTTTGCAATAACTGGCAATGAGTTTTTCACATCGCTGTGGAGGAATTTTGGCCCACTCTTCTTTGCAGAATTGTTTTAATTCAGCCACATTGGAGGGTTTGAGCATGAATTGCCTTTTACATTTACTTTAAGTGTGACAAATATGCAAAAATAAGAAACCAGGAAGGGGGCAAATACTTTTTCACAGCACTGTACCTGACAAAACTAGCTGCACATAAAAATAGAAGGAATTTACCGTCATGACCTGAGCTTTATTAATTTATTAGTTGACTGACAGAAAGCTCTGCTAACTGGTGGAAGCAGCCCTGTCCAAACTGTGATCTGAAGGCTCTGGCTACAAGTTGCCAGTGTCCATCTGACCCTAACTTTAAATACTCCGATTTAATGACCTGCTGTTTCACCATCTTCGGTCCTGTTGATCAAAATCCTGACTCAGTTCTTTGCCGTCCCTTCCTGAACATTCAGGGGAAGTAAAGGCTCATATGTCTGGTACTTACTCTCGTCTCCCAGCTGAAGTGTCATGTTTCTGTTAAACTCTATGTTGTTTCTCCAACCGCTGCTGAAGCCAAATGGGGAGAAAGGGTCTGAAAACACACACACACACACACACACACACACACACACAGTATAGTAGTACTTTACTCGTCTTAAATGTGTGTTGTACACACAATTTGCCCTCACAAAGAACAATGCCGTCCCCTTACCAGTGGAGGCCTGTGTGAACTCCTGTGTATGGTTCCTCTCCTGCAGCACCAGGCCCAGAGCCGCCTGGCAGATCGTTGCCCCAGAAGGAGCTCTCAGGTTGGGAAAGAGGTCAGCATAGTGCTGAGGGATGAAACTGGTGCTGACGTTTCCAGCCTCAAACTCTGGATGACCCGAAAGGCTCAGCAGAAAGTCTATGTTAGTGTTCAATCCCACAATCTAAGGACAGAAGTTGAAAAGAGGGCAGAACTAAGTTAATAAGGGATGATGAACTCTGGGCATTTAGCAAATATTTTTTGCAAAATTAAATCACCTCCTATAAATAAGAATGTTAGGTTTAGTATATGTAATACTGTACTTTACACCTTCAGTTCAATGACATGCAAAGCAGCATTTCACTGTGCCTCTTACATTGTACTGCCGTAAGCAGTATCGCAGTTTCTTTAAGGCGGCCGGTCGGTCTTCCCCCCACACCACAAGCTTGGCAATCATTGGGTCATAATGTGCTGACACCTCGTCCCCTGAAACCAAGCACACGTATAGCTACTGTGTTCTAAAGCTCCCAGTATTTTCATATTATGATTATTATGATTGTTTTTGTCCTTTTCTCATCCTTCTGGAGAGTGAACTCTAAAACACTGAATGCTGTTACATAAACAATGGAGAACTGTCTGTGTAGACAACTACAGGAGCCTCCCCACCTTCCCTAACTCCTGTCTCTATGCGTGTGTGTTGGTCTGGTGGAGGGGTGGAGAGATGCAGCAAAGGTCCCGCCCCTGGAAGGAAGTCATTGTTTGGGTCCTCGGCGTAGATACGAGCCTCAAAAGAGTGGCCCCTTAAGATGATGTCATCCTGGAGGAGAGGCAGGCGTTCCCCTGCTGCCACCTGGAGGGGAATTTCACAAAGTTTAATCAGTGCCCGTCACTGAAACGTCTCCAGACTGGGGGAAAAGCCTCCCAGCTCCGAACATACTTCTCCCATCAGCTTTTTCCTGCCTCTTAACTTTTTCTCCCCTCCCTCCGCTCTCACCCTGAGCTGCCACTCCACCAGGTCAGTCCCAGTGACCATCTCAGAGACGGGATGTTCCACCTGCAGCCTGGTATTCATCTCCATGAAGTAAAAGTTATGCTGGGCGTCCATTATAAATTCCACCGTACCTACGCAGAAGGACAACACGGATGATGCCATGTACAGTACTGTATGTTCTGGATTTGAGAAACGGACGCAAAGTGCGTATAGGTGAGCGTGTGCGTCTCACCTGCCCCTACATAGTTGACGGCTTTAGCTGCTCTGACTGCCGCTTCTCCAAGTTTCTTCCGAACCTCAGGACTAATACCAGGCTGAAAAAATGCACAGACACAGAGTGAAAACACTGAACAGCTGACACAAACACATTCAATAATCACAGCTCTAATAATTAGTTTGACACACAACTCTTTTCTCTAAAAAGCTGTTCACGTTGCAGTGGAAATTAACAGAAAAGAGACATAAACACAAGGGAACTTTTGCCCCAAGGTAGAGAAGAGCACTACATCTTCCAAGGAGACCATAGTAGCAACTAAAAGCTTTTAATGAATGTACAGGGATGGATTTGAGAGAAACACATTTCCAGTTCCTTACGGCTCTAATCAAGGTGGGAACAGTTTGAGACTTTCCTGAAAAGTGGTTCATCATATCGTCAACATAAACATCAGCAGGAGCAGATTCAAGCCATTAGCCAGACACAGCAAATCCAGATTCATCTTTGCAAGATTTAATATTCAGAGAAATTTAAAAACTGCAGGTTTAGTCTGATTTGTACACAGTGAGAAGCTTTTTAAAGAATTCCTTATTAATCTATCTCAGTTCCACAGTGAATCTCTGTGGCGACCATCACATGCTCACCCCTGGTGCTTCCTCTATGATCTTCTGATGTCTCCTCTGGACGCTGCAGTCTCTCTCAAACAAATAAACTGCATTACCATGCATGTCCCCAAACACCTGAACCTCCACATGTCTACAGGAGAGAGACAGTCAGATGGAGAGAAACAGGACAGATTGTTCTTTTTATTTCACTTAAATAAATGGTTCCTGGTTAGCAGAGTCTGAGTGAATAAATATTACCTGGGGTCCTCCACAAACTTCTCAACCAGCATGACATCATCGTTGAAGGATTTTCTGGCTTCTCGTCTCGCTGACTCCAACTGCTCTAAGAAGTCTGAGCCTGACTGTGCAATACGCATCCCCTAAACAGCCACACAGTTAAGTATGTGTCTTAAAATTACTTAGTCAAAGTTACTTAGGCTTTTTTCCTCAGCCTCTCACCTTCCCTCCTCCTCCACGAACTGCTTTGATCATCACAGGATAGCCAATCCGGGCAGCCTCGGCCTGCAGCCGCTCATTTGACTGGTCCTCTCCATGGTAACCACCAATGATTGGCACCCCAGCAGCTGACATGATGTGTTTAGAGGTGCTGAAAAAGAAGACAAAACAACATAAATCAATACTAAATACACTAAATACAAGTTAATCAAGATTTTCACATCACCTCACAAAGATTTACACTCTTTTTTTACTCATTTTTGTGATGTTATTACTAGTACTGTTTTTTAAAGTCTAGTTTATAATTGTTAGCTGTGATTTCAGTCAACATAGTGTTGTTAAAGAAAACAGAAAATGGACTATAAATGCATGCCTTCTGTACCGTGTGTGTGTACATGTTACCTCTTAATGCCCATGTCTCGGATGGCAGAGGAAGGTGGCCCAACAAAGATGATGCCTTCCTGTTTACATGCCTCAGCAAACTCTGTGTTTTCTGACAGAAAGCCGTAACCAGGGTGGACCGCCTACGCAGACATAAACATGTTTTCTAAAACATTGTATTTAACAGTGTCAAAGCCTCTTGTTGATTTACTGTCAACTCGAAGGACAGTTCATTTTTTAAATCTACAATTTGTTTTGAATTTGCGCCTTTAAGAAAAATGACAGAATTCATTTTAACAGTTACTCACATGTGACCCAGACTTTTTGGCCACTTCCAAAACTTTCTCCATAGACAGATAACTCTGCTGGGAGGGTGGAGGACCGATGTGGTAGGCTTCATCTGCCTAAAAAAAATAAAAACAAAAAACAGGTTGTTTCCAGTTGAACACAGCTACAGTAAATACAGGTCTGAGTGCAAGAAAACAGTTTAGTTCACTGCCTCACTGTGTTTGTTAAAGCAGATAGAAAAAGCTTAGAGGACAAACAGCACAAATACACAAAGACACGTCTTTAGCATGTCACCATGGCCACGTGCATGGAGTGTCTGTCTGCATCACTGTACACAGCCACGGAGCGGACGCCCATCTTCTTGGCTGTACGCATCACACGACAGGCAATCTCTCCTCGGTTGGCAATTAACACCTTTTCTATCCTTGCAACCCCTGAAGAGGACACGGCAGAAAAACTTTTTTAAAGTTCTCAACAAATGCTCTTTAAATGACAACATTCTTACTAAATTAATAGTAATTCCTACATGTTAAGTGCAAAAAGCCTTAAAGGCAGTAGCTGTTTAGTTGCAACAGGATCATTGATCAAAACAGTGGGATATGGTACCACTTCAGAAGAACACTGACACTGGTGAGAAACAACATTTACACAGTTTACTTCTCGTATACTGCATTTGTATAAAACAAAGCAACTCAGAATCGGATTAACATGTTTTATAGTTTCACATCCAACAGATCAATGTGCTTATGATAATCAGTCATATGGTTAAGAGTATGTTCTTCACTCACCCCCTGAAACAAGCCTCACGCCTCTTTTGGTCCATGATAATTTTCTGAATAGAGGAGAGGAAAAGAACTTCAGTACCATTCAAATTTCTACATGGCTGTGAAGGGCACAGCAGATACTAAAGGAACTAAGTCCTGAGGCTACAGTAACTTAAGAAACAGCAGAGCACAGTAACCAGAAGCAAAACACTGGCTAAACAACTGAGCTTAACGTGAGGCTGGTCGCACGACACAGGACATGTTGTAAGGCAACTTTAGCCATGCTCACGGTCAGACTGCTACCTTTATTTAACCTTGTTCAGCACTTAGCTGATTCATTAGCGCACACAATGAAAACGCATTAATGTTAAGCTGAAAAACAACGTGATTTTGTCCAGGTCATGAATCATGATCAGTAGAAGATAATTTACAGTCTCTGCTAAACAAGTGCATCTGTTTGACTAAGTGAGCCGTAGGAGCTAATCAAACAAGCAAACACGATAGCTGTAAGCTAACGCTGAAAATAAGCTAAATATATTAGTGGTGGGAAATGCTGTTAGAAGGGGCAGTCTTTTCCATGCCAAAACAAAGCAGACGTGTAATTATTCGATGTACTCACGGTGTATATATCCTCAGACCTTGCAAGGCTGGGAAACTCAGAATGACTGCAGCCATAGCTACCAGCTCTTGCAATTGGCTGCTAGCTAGCTAAGTGGCTAATTGACCAACTGAGAAGGAAAAGGCGAAGTGGTAACTTCGTAATTTACTAAACTTTCCTTATGCACTATGGTAGCATTTTAACTACAGTGACCCACTCAACTTAAACCAACAACAACTATTTGTGTCCTTAATATCATGCAAACTCAGTAGTAAATACTGCCATACGCTAGTAATGTTTTGTATTAGTATTTATGACCTTTGCAGGGACTCGTACTGTGGACGGCCAATGAGGAAAGCGGATATGGAGGTGGGGAGGAAGCTGCCATGAACACCTATAACCAGCAGAGGGCAGCGTTTCAAACATAGATAATAAAACCTATTTATCTATCACGTTTACTCTGCAGTAGCCCTGCCAGCTGCCACTTAAATTCCAGAGTTGAGGTTTGCATATTTTTTTTATCTATAAACCATAATTAATTGCATTATACAAGAATCGGGTTTGTCTATATTGCTAGTGTAATCCAATGTTTATTAACAAACAATGAGCCCAGTCTCATTTTTGGTAAAGAATCTGAATTTGAATCAGAATCAGCTATACTGGACAGGTGTGGTGAACAAATGAGGAATTTTACTCTGTGCTTGAACAATATTCTACTATAAGTAGATAAGTAAACAAGATAAGACTAAGAGACCAAGGAGAGATAAAGAATGTGCAAATAAGAAAAGGGAATGTGCATTAGTAAATAAAAATAAAGTACTAAATATAAAATATATGTGTATATAGACCATTTAGATGGAATAGCAATCTTCTCTCCCCTCCTTTTGACCCATGAGGTTTACATGTCCTTCATGGAGGGCAGGCTGGCACCGATGATTCTTTCTTTCTACAGTCCTGACTGTCGCTGGAGTCTGTTCCGGTCCTTTTTTGGTTGCTGAGCCAAACCAGACAGTGATGAATGAGCAGAGAACAGACTCAATAATTCCTCTATAGAACTGTATCAGCAGCTCCTAAGGCAGGTTGAATTTCTGAGCTGGAGCAGGAAGTACATCCTCTGCTGTGCCTTCTTGGTGATGGTGCTGATGTTGGACGTCTACTTCAGGTCCTGGGAGACGGTGGAGAACAGGAACTTGAAGGACTGTACTGCTGATACAGTGCTGCTGAGTATGGGGGGGGGGGGCTCCTCCTGAAGTCCAGTTTGTAGTGTTTTCAGCTCCACGTTGTTGAGACCACACCACAGAGCCAGCTGTTCAACCTCCCATCTGTAGGCCGACTCATCACCGTCTTGGATGAGACAAACAGACATGACATTTGTGTCATCTGTGAACTTCAGGAGTTTAACAGAGGGGTCCCCTGAGGTGCAGTGCAACAAATCAGAGTAATGCAACAACTGCAGTGAACAGAAATCATCAATGAAAGCAGGATAAAAGACAAATTAAATGCAAAAAGAACTTCACCTACACAATAGTAACATTTTTATTGCAGAAAGAACAGCAATATAAATACATTTAGCAATACTTTTTGCAGTTATATTTTGAATATGAGACATCAGGCCTCTATTTGTTATTGTCAAAAGGCTTTTGAGATATTTTTGTAACAGTAAGTATAAAATAAATTTCACACGTTTCGCAACTATCTCAGATCCTCTCATAGCCTTGTCTGTGGCGGTCTTTGATGAACAGGAAGGTCAGCACAGTGATCAGGAAGAGACCCACCACTACTGCCCCGAAGATGATGAGAAAAACTCTCTCGTTAATGTCAGCCCAGCACTCCATCTCTGAAAAATAAGAGACGAGGAGGATGATCAAAGACAAATAAGGATCAACACCCAGCTGTCTGAGAGAAATAAAGACAATAAAACCTGATAGTTTCTTGTTTTAGATACTGAAAGTTGTCACTTTAATTTACTTGTCCATGTGTTTGTAACTGGTATGAACACTGGAGAGGAAGCACAGACAAGAACATTATGTTCACCTGAAGTTGCAGGAATCACAGAACCACATTTGTTTTGAATAAAGTAAAGTAAAAGTCAATCAACTTGTTTATTGTACAAACTGGTCATTTGCCTTCCACTAACAAAATATATAATTGAGCCTCAATAGTATCTAATAGATAGAGCAGAATAAAACCACCCGCACTCATTCTGAGTTGTGGAACAGACCCCGCATCACTAAAAAGGTGCTGATCACCTTTTCCATAGTGACCGCTGGGCAGAGCGAATGCCTGTATCTGCAGAGGAACCAGCTTGATCCTCAGCTCAGATGTCATCAAAAACAGATGCCCAGATTTACACAAGAAACTCTGTCCATCCTCTGCTGTGAAGAGTTTGTCATGCTCCAGCAAACCTGTGTAAGTTTTATCTGGGAGGAAGAGAAGAAGAGGAGAGAACATAAAACAGCAGTTATTTCATAAAATCAGAGATGGAACTAACATCTTTTTCAGTCTGTGTCTGGTCTTACTGGCACATTTTGGGCAAACAGGCTCAGGAGACACATGAGCAGACAGCTTAGTGACATAAGAGACGTTCTTTTCCTGTGGACAAAAATACAGAGATGGAAGCTGATTCAGAAATCCTTTAATTCTGAACAAATACTGTGCACATTTTTACACCATTTCATTATGTATGCGTGTGTCCTGAGATGACTTTTGTTGTTATTTGGCACTATTCAAATAAAGTTGAATTGAATTATTTTGCTCTAGGTATGAACTTGACTCATACTCAGACACTGACTGCATTTGGAATCAGAAGTTAGAGACAAAGACTCAGATTTTTTGTTTGTGTAGTAGGCCACAATAGTCCCTGGTAGGCTAGTGGTTAAGGTGCAGCGCTCTCACCGCTGCGGACCAGGTTCGAATCAGGGTGGCGTAAAACACGTGCCAAATGTCAACATGTGAGTCGTCAGTGTGATGATTCGCTGTGGCGACCCCTAAACGGGAAAAGCCAAAAGTGACTTTCTTACAGTAGGCCACAATAATTCAGAATATCAAAAAAATAAATCACTGTTCACTTCTAAGTAGTGTCTGTGTGCTTATGAGAGTGCATCTGTTGGGCTATTGTGTCACACACAGTAGGTAAACTCCTTTTAAAATGGTGAGAGATGTGTCCATTCTGTTTAAAGTGGATCTTGATGGCTCGGACTTGAATTGGACTCGAGCCTTGACTCCAACTCATAGTTTAGTGACTTGACTACAAAGCTGCCTGTGACATACAGCAGCCTACAGTATAGTTTGAACAAAATTAACAGGAACGTGGACACTATATTGTGAATTTTTGGTTAACATAAAGAATAAATAACAAAGAACATTTTGATAAAAGTGAAATGTCACTGTTTCCTAGCTGAGATTCTCACTGAGTGATTATCTGAAAAGCTGACAGTGTTCTTTGTACTGCTTTTGACATTTTTGGAGAACATGCAAACTCCACAGAGTGAAGAAAATGACAATATTATTTAATATCTTGTACCTTAATGAAGGTGAACTGCAGACTGGCACCGTTGTCTGACAGCATGAGACAGAGAACAGCAGTGTTGTTGCCACAGTAACCGCTGATTTTAACCCTGGATGGGTCCAAGTTGAAATACCAAGTCTTCTGAGTGCAGACAAGAGAGAAATATTATTTTATATCACTAGATAATGTCACTAGCTGACATCTTTTCTCAGTATATTGTTCATTTGCCAACTGTCAGGTTTTTAGAATTTGAACAGTTTTGTTCTTGTAACACACACAGAGATGCTGACACAGACACACACCTTCTGCAAACAGTGCTGAAATACTAGAAAATGAGACACACTGAACCAAACAAGTGTGGCACGGTTCACAAATGATCAACCATGACAGGTGTGTGCACACAGAGCGCTGAGCCAGTCGCAGCCCCTAACCTTCTTTTCTGTCACTATGTACTCTGCTCCCATGGTGGCTCTGATGCAGGGTTTCCCAACTAGGTTGTCCAGCACGTAGGTCCCTGCACAAAATACAGCTATCAGTATGTGTAATTTAAGTTTTATATTGGACCCAATTATGTAATATAACTTCCAAATATTTACATATGCTTTCTATGAGTAGCAGTAGAACATTAAAAAAGGACACTTATTTTATTATTAGAGCCCTTAAATGTCAATCTTGCTCACTGCTGATGCTTTAAAACATAACTCTGAATTCACCGAGAGTAATCTCAAGAAAACAGCACTATATGAATTTGGATATTTGTGATAAGTGTGTGTTTTTTGTACCTATTGGAGGAATGGCCTCAGAGGGCTGCAGGACCGGCCGGTAGATCTGGAGATGTGAGGGCAGCTGATCGTCAAGCTGGACAAAGCTGTCATTTCTCTGTAGGTAGACGCCTGTTGAAGGAAGAAACCTGCCACTCTCAGTGCCCGTTTATCACCAGTTTTCCCCTGCAGTAAAACTTTGCTGAATATTTCCCACTTTTCGAGAACATGTTTCTCTTTAACAAACTCCCCTTCCAAGAAATTTTAAAATGACTTAAAATGAAAGGCAGTAATTCTAGAGTACACATGAACAGGCTCAGACGTAGATGGAACGTGTGGGGCCTCTGAAGACCACCAGCAACGACCACTGTGTGGGAGGGAAAACCACAACAGCCCTAGTTCTCATACTGAACAGACTGCGCTCTTTAAAAAGAAGTTATAACATCATCAAGATGATCACATTTAATCACAAACAATTAAAGATAAATAAATCATTGGAAATCTCAAAGTCACTGGTTCATTCCAAATATTATCTGTCATCACAGAAAAGCCTTTAATTCATAGTCCAGAGTGAAAAAGATAAAAAAAAAAAACAAAAGATTTGCCACAGTTTGCTTTGTTTTTGGGACAAAACACTAGATGGTAATGTTGTGGAAACTACTGCTCTGTCAAAGTCTCCCATAAATACTGAAATGTTTGAGGTACAGAGGAAAGACAAAGAACAACCTGTCGAGAGAGTTTAGAGTCTTTTATCTGAGGTTGACATATTATCAAACTTACCTGGAATAATAACAGCCAGGAGGACAACAGACCATTTACCTGCAAGACCCCTTAACATCACACTGTAGTTAGAAACTAATAGAATAAAGAAGAATGATGCCACTTGGATATACGTGCAACGTGAGCCCTGTAGCTGTGGTTTGGCTCGTAAATGTGAAACTGCTGAACAATTTTAGCACCTATAGTAAATGAATCCTGCAGAGGAAATGACGTGTCACAGGAGATGGGTTAAAGGCTGCAGCTTTTCACAGCCCTGAGTTGACACCTCTGATGGTAAGCTTATGTCAAACAAAGTGTGAAGCCTCTCAGTTGACATAACGCACAAACGAGCCAAATATTCTGGCATGTTCGGTTTTTCAGTGTCTTTCTGATGCACTTTAATGTAAAACACACCTGTGACAGAGTGGGGTAAATGTTATGCAAAGATAAGGTCTGCATAACATGTATGGAGTGTAACATCTGACTTCAGTTCACAGAGGAGCAGTGGGGACATCAGAGCGGGACAGGCTAAAGGTCGACAGGGGCAAAGTACCACTGAAAACACACAAAACACACTGACCACACACACATTGGCCCCCAGAGATGTACAGTGAGGGACGTTTTTGTGACAGTACAGTACTAATCATCACTTCTTTATGTGGTTCATTTTGTGAGAATGTGTGAGGGAAGACAAAGTTTGCTATTCCAGTTTCCAGTGAAGGAAGTTGGTACATGTCCTTATATGCTCTCCTTCTGTCTCTGATATTGACTGTAGTATTGACTCGGCAGGTAGGAGGGCAAACAAAAGAGCAAACATTTACTCTCCTTTCAGCAACTGAGTGTTTTGAGCATTAATGAGTGTGTGTGTGGTCAGTGCCCTCCTGTCCTCTGTGCACATGTGCCTATGTCATCGACTTTTGCAGGATTCCCACCCACAGTTTCTGGAGAACTTCATCAGTTCTCTGTCCCAGTGTGAAGAGGAGTCACATTTGTCGCTTTCAGCCACAACAGCATCGACCCCTGTCAGGTACTGTAAGAACTATATCACTGACCATTTAGACTGAAGATGTTTAATTTTGTTTGGAAACTGGAACATTATAAACATGCTTTTGGTTTTTAGCTAAAAACGGATCCAGCAAACTCTGCCATGATTAGGCTGAAATTCATTAACATTACATGAATAAATCGTTGATGGAAGTGTTCGCCAACTGGTATGCTTTAATTCATTTTCTATGCCTTGCAGCAGAACAGAGCCAAATATCAGGATCAGATGATGAGGAGCCGAGCGGGACTGTATGTGCTGGGCCTGCTGTGCATCCACAGTGCCGTCTTTGGGCAGGTCAGGAGAAAGTATCAGAAGTCATAACTTTCAGCTGGTTTTCTGGCACTAGAATCTAAATGATGAACTCCTTTGCATAAAATGTCACAATATAAAACTATTTCCATAAATATAAACATCCTGCATTCAAAACTTTACTCAAGTAAATGGACAGAATTATCAACAATATGCAGTTAAAGTTCCCATAATTCAAAATGGCTGCTAGAAAATTGTATAAGTTCAGTGATAATATCACACAAAGAAAATGCTCTATTTGTAATCCTGCATGCAAAGTCTTAATTTAGTAAAAGTAGGTAATTACTTTCTGCAAAATATAAAAAAAAAAGTAATGATTGTGCAGCAAAACTGCCCTTTCTGAAGTCAAAGTCAAAGTGTTTATTTGTCATATACACAGTTAGGAAACGTGTTTCCCTGTACAATGAAATTCTAACTTTGCCGTCCACATGAATGCCACAAAATACAAATGAAATATAAAGTAGATAAATAAGTTACACAAAATCTAAGGCACTTTAAGCAGCAAATGCAGCAATATAATAAAAATATATAGGAATATAATAAGAGAATGTATGCTACATGGGAGTAGCATGTGCAGCAGTCAACAGTAAATGTGCAATTATGCATGTGCAAACCGAGTATGTAAACAGTACAGGTCGACAGTACATGACGTATTTCCTGGTAATAAACTCCTCAGCTGTTCAGGAGTCTGATGACAGAGGGAAAGAAGAATTTTTCAGTATGCAGGCCCTGCATTTCACACTCTGAACCTCCGGCCAGAGGGTAGGGAGGCAAACAGTTCGTGCTGGGGGTGGGTGGGATCTTTGAGGATAGAGGCAGCTTTCCTACGCACCCTGCGGTGGTAAATGCTCTGCAGAGAGGGCCCTGGAGTCCTGGTGATCTTCTCCGCAGTCTTTACCACTCTCTGCAGGTGCTTGCGGTCCATAGCAGTAGTGCTGCCATACCAGACAGTGATGCA